ATTTGAGATTATTTCCTTTTTTGAAGTGGGCTAAAAACCTATTAATACTCGATATCCGGATGCTCGGTAAAACTGATACTCAGCCTTTAGGAAATATTTATAGAAATAATTAAATTTTTAATAAAAAGTAAAATCCGACTTCAAAAACTTTAAAAAAATCACATAATAACACCTGCCACCCCTGAGGAATAAGATGGAATGCCTCGTTTCCAGTAAAAGGGTCGTCAGTACACTATACTCACCATGCGAAACAGCTCCATTAAGCTGCTATTGCACTCTGGTATTCTTTGAGAGCGCGGTTCTTCCCCGGGCGAGCCTATCCATTCTTGCTACGACCATAATATAGCTGCAGCGTGACTCTATTACTAAATATAAAAGATTTAAAAGTAAAACTCTCCTTAAATTTGTTTAGTTTCGTTACGTATTGTTCTCGTTACGTCTTTTATATTTTCATATGAATATTCTAGGGTAATAGAATAATAATACATTACCTGCATACGCACTTACATTACGAACGTCAAATCTATTTACGAACCTATATACACGATTATTTAAGAACGGGGACAACAGCCTAGCTCGTTAATATATAACATGTAGGTACTTAGAACGACCGTCAGCGGCGCTGATCGCATTATACCACGATCACTTGATTATTAAGTGGCGAAGCTTGCGAAGTCACTTATTAAGTGGCGAAGCTTGCGAAGTCACTTATTGATTTCACGATGTCTGTCCGTCTGTCTGTCTGTCCGTCTGTCCCACGATTATCTCGAGAACGGTTTCGAATTTTCAAATTCTGTTTTCAGCAATCGATTACTGATCACCCAGGCATCTGAACCTCCTATTTTGAAACTGATTGCTCAACGGCAACCGTTAGAAACCGCTACAAAGCTGATTGCTTCGCCACTTTGCTATGCTGTTAGCTTGCTAGGTTTATTGATTTCACGATGTCTGTCCGTCTGTCCGTCTGTCTGTCTGTCCCACGATTATCTCGAGAACGGTTTCGAATTTTCAAATTCTGTTTTCAGCGATCGATTACTGATCACCCAGGCATCTGAACCTCCTATTTTGAAACTGATTGCTCAACGGCAACCGTTAGAAACCGCTACAAAGCTGATTGCTTCGCCACTTTGCTATGCTGTTAGCTTGCTAGGTTTATTTCATTTCATTTCATTCCCACTACTCAGTGAGAATCTCAGGTCATCGCTAGAGTAGGCTCAAATTAATGCAGCTATGAAGGCTGCGTAGATATATATAGCCGATTTCTACTTTCTGTTTACATCAGGGGATCAGAAGTCGTATAAACACTGCAGTGCCGCTTTATTTCATAAATCCTGAATAGATAGAACTAACTAATTATATCACATCACAATGAACTGAACTTTTTTACTTATTTAGTTTAAGACTTCCTCTTACTTGCACTTCTTAGAGCTACCATTGTTTGTTATATAGAATAAGTGTGACAAACGAGCACACAGTCCACCTGATGGTAAGTGGTTGCTGTGGTCTATAGACATCTACACCTATCCTCGTTTGCGAATCAAAATGCAGATGCGTTGTCAGCCGTGAGGACTAAGACGGAATGCCTCTTTTCAAGTAAAAAGGGTCTCCGGTCCTCTACACTCACCATTCGAAACACAGTAGCATTAAGCTGTTATTTTACGCTGGTATTCTGTGAGAGTGTCGTGCTTCCCCGGTCGAGCCGACCCATTCGTGCTACTAATATACATGGCTTTACCACGTTTAAATATTTTTCATCTTCGATTTTTTTATCTATCCGACAATTAATACTGAATAACTTTCTTTGTTGTTAGGTTTTTTAAGTACACATTTAGTAACATTACTAACGCATGTACATTTATGTTCTCAGTTTTTGAGAGTTACTTAAAAAAAAATCTTTGATAATTGAAAGAATCGGTAATAACTTTTTGATCTTTTTTTTTAATTATAAATATAATAAGGTAGGTGAGTGTAATATGGTCACCTTAAACTTTGCCGCCCTATAAAACCAAAACTAGAAGGAGGACAGAGACAAATGCACAATGTAGTGTAAGCGTAACTAATATATTAAAAAAAATAGCAAACAAGCCTTTGCAAATAATTAGAAACACTTCGAAAAATCAACTTAAAAAAAAACTACACTACCCAATACTAAAATCGACTATAATATTTACTATAATATCAACTGTCAAAATGGCATCGATATAGCGACGCCCCTTTTGCCCCTTATTATTTATTGAATGACTGATGAAGAACTATCGTATCACTAAGCCATCTATGTAAATAAGACTAGTAGTTTTTGAGTTATAAGGAAGTGACCATATTACCCTCACGTACTATAGCTATTTTTGTACAGGTACAAGTAGACAGCAAGAGATGTCACATTTTCCATTGTCCATGTGTGGTCCATGTATTGTATTATTGTCAAGACAGACTCCGACATCTTGACATTACAATAAAAAACATAAATTATATTAGAATACTCAATTACCTCATTCTGATAGGTCAGATTAAAACAAAGATGAAAACGGTTAAAAATAACATCGCTATTGAATCTTAAACGGTGCATTGTCTTGCTGCTGTATATCTTACGGAGGCTGCTCGCTCAAGGGCGAGATCGATGTGAGAATCATAGTAATGACGCCTACAACAGATTCTAAATTGCCATTCTAAACGTCTAGCGACTTGTAATTATTTCCATAAAACATAAAAATTTTAATAACCATTTCCTAAAATAAGCATGCCGGATAATCTAAAAATCTGCAAAGAAGAATTATAAACTGTACATTACTCCAGCTAAAACTAGAAACTGGCTAGACCGATTTTCATTTAGTTTGTATGTGTTTGTGTGGGTACCTGTATGGTTTATATTTACAATTGGACCCGGTAGATAGCTGTTGTCGAGATCTAGAAATCACCCGTGCGAAGCCGGGGCGGATCGTTAGTGCCATATAAAATAAAGGTTTATTATAATAAATAAAGAAATAAATAAATACAGATTGTATTTATTATATATTGTATAGCAGAATTATTACTATTAGTATCTACTGGCAATGAGTTACGCGACTCATTTTTAGCGTTAGCATAATGTACAAATTGCTTAAAGATTTTAAAAAAGAAGAAGAACTTTTTTTTTTTAATAACAAATTTGAAAATAACTATAGTAACTCTATGGTAATTGAATTTGGTTTGGAAATAGAAATTACTTCATTAAGCCGCTAGCGTAGTTTTAATATATTAACTAAAACAACATACGAGTTAATGGAGTAGAAAGTAGCTGATACCATCACTACACATCGCATCCAGAATCCGCTTAACGATACATGTAGGTAGGTACAATTTATGCGTAAGAAATGTATGAACTCTTTAACTTTTTTACAAGAGATAATAAACGAACGACGGAGCTACACTAAAGTGATAGAGACACTACAGAAGAATTAAGTTGATTTTTATACAAACGAAGTATGGTACCTCTATTTCCATAGTAAAAATGGAGGACGCTTTAAGTAGAGGAAATTATACTTTAAATATGACAGCTCAGTCATATTAATATTCATAAAGTATAATTTCCGTGTAGTAGCGGTGTCATCATCATCATCATTACAGCCCTTCATAAGTCCACTGCAGAAAATAGGCCTCCCCAAGGAATGCCACAAAGCACGGTCCTGAGCCACCTGCATCCATCGACTACCTGCATGTCTTACCAGGTCGTACTCCATCTAGTGGGGGTCGCCCTACACTTCGCCTACCGGTACGAGGCTGCCAGTCGAGAACCTTTCTTCCCCATCGGTTGTCGGTTCTTCGAGCTATATGGCCGGCCCACTGCCACTTCAGCTTACTAATCCGTTGGGCTATGTCCGTTACTCTGGTTCTACTGCGGATATCCTCCTTTCTAAGTTTATTACGCAGAGAAACCTCGAGCATAGTCCTCTCCATAGCACGCTGAGCGACCTTAAGCTTCCTCATACAGCCAGCAGTTAAGAACCTCGTCTCAGATCCGTAAGTCATCACTGGCAACACGTACTGGTTGCAAAATTTCGTGCGAAATTTGAGGTATGTCTGTAGTAGCGATGCACTCCACCCCATATCATCCAGTAGGTGTCCTAAGACACGACACAGGAAAACAAATTTACAAATCTGGAGATGGGCAACAGCGTCTTTCTAATAACGACTAAAAATAAAAAATAAACTGCGGATACCGACCCGCTTGCCAAGCTTGGTAACTATCGCAAATATTCAATGAGGCAAGCTATGGGGGAGGCCTATGTTCAGCAGTGGACTTTAATAGGCTGCAACGGTAACGGTTCAGTCATCCATTGCTCCGCAAATACTATTGATTTTAGGTCAAAATACTAAGAATATTTCATACTAGTGTCAAAGTTGAAGTTACGCATCATTCATTATGTAGCAGAAACAAAACTACGATATTGTTATCATCAAGATGGCACGAAGTTTTTTCATGGATAAGGCATAGGTGCACGCAAAGAAGGCGAAGTCGTGAGATAATGCAAACTATTACGTCATTATGATGACAATAGAACTTGTTAAACCGAGTACATCGACACGGTTACCAACAATAGTCAAACTGTATTTATATAACACGAAATATTTTTATTTGCAGACAATTCATTGATATCTTTATAGGAATCAAGGCGAAAGCAATTATTTCGTGGCGGTACACGCTTGGTAATTACACGTAGAACGTATTCTTACTGCGTTATACCTATATGTTGAATTCTCTATAGTAGGTACGTGAAAATATTACAATTAATAAGATAGATGCCACAAATGTAGAAGTACGAAAGAACGTTAAAATTAATATATCCATAATAAATGAATAAATCCATTTTAATATTTTATTGCACGTTCGAAATGTTTTTTACTTAACTTTTGTAAATAAAAGTTAAGTAAAAATATTATTTATATCAAATATAATTATTAAAAAATGAATACGCATTTTACTATCCCTAAAATATTATCAAAAATAGAAGTATACCACGAACCTGCAAAGGTGTGAAGGCGACTGATGAAGCCGTACCGGACACTTGTCTTCTAATGCTCGTGGCTCCGCCGTACTGCTGCTGTTTCTGCATGTTCCTTTGTAGGGTCTTACTGATGCGGACTTTGGTCTTCTCGTCTATTTGAGGCAATCGTACACGACCGGTGCTCGACTTGCCAATAGTTCCCCGTGTGTAGCCCAGGTCTTCTTGATAAGCGTCATCTTCGATCTAATGCAAAATATATAGCATTTAAAAGCAATCAATAATCAATATGTGCATACACTTTAGTAGAGATAGAAAAAAAAGATATACTGCGTCACTGACAGTATTTCATAGTCCTAATGAATGTAAAATCGCAGTACTTCTTAGTAATATGCGCTTTGTGATTTTTACATTTCTTATAGAAGTAATGGTGGCCATGGACACATACATTAATCCACAATTAAGGATCCAAAATGCAGATTACGTTGTCACTGCTAACAACTAAGATGGATTCGCTGGTTTCCAGGAAAAAGGGTCTCAGGTTCTACCACCATACGAAACACAGCAGCATTAAGCTGCTATTTTACGCTGGTATCCAAATGGTATATGGTTACATATGGTATATCACATTTTACCCCGGTTGTGCGGACCTATCCGGGTTGCGATCATGATATAATAGCTGCATTGTGGCTTATCCCATTTAGTAGGACCATAATCGTCAGGCTTAGCAGACTAATTGTCGATCACAGAACCAGACATTTGCACCGTGGATGCTGTTCCCCGTCATCAGGCTGGTTACACATCTATCGGAAGCCATGATAACTTTTCTGAGTTTTTCTTACTCTTAAGACATCCACAGAACTAAGTATAGTAATAGATCTTAACCACTCCAAGCAAGCTGAAAATGCTTTCCACAGATGTGTTCCATGATATCTATTTTCTGTGATGTAAGTGCTATTAGCCTATACGGCTCTTATAGATTCAGCTAACACAGAGCTATTTAAATAATTAAAAATTAAAAATTTTGTACAGCCGACTTCAATATAAGTTATTAAGAATAACTCAAAAACTATTGGTCTGACCTTGATCAAATTCATATGGGACCACACGAGAAGTACCAGTTTTCAAATAAAAAAGAATCATCGAAATCGGTTCACCCAGTAAAAAATTATGAGAATTTTCATATGTGGTAGAGCTATGGCTGCAGCTATATGAGTAGTATAGTTGTAGCACGAATGGGTCGGCTCGACCGGGGAAGGACAACGCTCTCACAAACCAGCGTAAAATAGCAGCTTAACACTGCTGTGTTTCATATGGTGAGTGTAGAGAACCGGAGAACCTTTTTACTGGATTAGAGGCATTCCATCTTAGTCCTCACGAGTGACAACGCATCTGCATTTTGATTCGCAAACGAGGATAGATGTAGATGTCTATGGGCCACAGCAACCACTTACCATCAGGTGGACTGTGTGCTCGTTTGTCACTCGATCCTATAAAAAAAAAGGTAACACACACAAAAAAACATGCAGTCGAATTGAGTACCGTCTCCTTTTTGGAAGTCGGCAGAAAAAGGGAAGGGCAATGATGGGGTTGAGGATGATGTTAGTTTATGATTTGGAATTGTTACCAATCATCATGCCCCCATTGTTGAGGTTATTTTTTGAGCTATCTAACCCCTGTTCGAGTGGGGGTGTGCGAACCGCCGCCTATGACTGCTTAACTTGTGCTGGTCGATGTTCTGGGCGGTGAGAACCGACACGACATGTTCCATGACAGTAGTTAGATGACGCATTGGAACCCACAACATTTTTAGCTTGCAGTCCGTAGCCTTAACCAATAGGCAATGTTAGTTTTATTATTATTATTAGGATCAGACTACTGTCATTTGATTATGCGTAAATCACGGATATAAATATACATAGAGAAAATAAAATTATTAACATGTTGTAAGTTTCCTTTTCCGTTATAATTACAAATGACGCAGATTTACGTAAATTATTTTTATTGAACATACTTTTTGGTCTTTCGTGCCAAATTCGGAGCGGGGAACGCTAGTGACACGGAACACTAACTTGTACTTGATACTTGACCGACTTTTATAGTAATTTAATTAATGCAATTAAGAAAAAACACACACAATTCTCAAAACAAGTAAACACATGAGCATGTACATAAAATATTACTATATTTATACGCATCACTAACTCATATCAAAATGAGTGCATTTGAAGAAAAAAATGTTTTTATTCATTTTTATAGTACAAACGGAGCGTGCAGTTTTGCATAATATATTATGCGAAGTTCTACCTTTTGTGAGATCTATATAGGTAAAATTTTGCAGATTAATAATTATACTAAAAATAATATGCAATAATGTTTCTTTTGTTATCAATTTAAGGACCACATTTGAATCACGTGAAATAATGATTACCCCGTCAACTTTTATCTCTAATATAGGCCAAGAACACTGCCTGCGTTTCCTCGCTGAATGACTATACTTAGGCTTTCTGGTTATACTTAGGCTGGCTGGTTATACTTAGGCTGGCTAAACGCTAAGACCGGTATTCAGAGGCAATCTCAAGTTTAAACTCAAGCCCCACAATGTCAAAGTTTTAGTCTAGACCTCCAACCACTACACTATTACCAAGCTCATGATCATTACAGCTCATCACAAGTCTTATTGTTGAAGATAAACCTCCCTCCATCCATGGACTTCCTACATCTCTTACGAGTTCGTATAGTAAAGTTACACAAATTTTGATGTTGTAAAGTGTAAGCTAAAACTCGAGGTTGTCTGGAATACCGGCCTTGGACTTTTGCGTAATATATAAAATTATCTTTTTTTTATAGAATAAGGGTAACAAACGAGCACACAGTCCACCTGATGGTAAGTGGTTGCTGTGACCCATAGACAACATTTATCCTCAATAAGGAATCAAAATGCAGATGCGTCGTTACCCGTAAGGACTAAGAATGAATGCCTCTTTTCCAGTAAAATGGGTCTACGGTTCTCTACACTCACCATACGAAACACAGCAGTGTCAAGATGCCATTTTACGCTGGTATTCTGTGAGAGCGTGGTCCTTCCCCGATCGAGCCGACGCATTTGTGCTACAACTATACTACTAATATAGCTGCAGCATGGCTATACCACGTACAAAATCTATTTTTAATTTAATAATTTTACTTTTTTCTTAAGATGATTTTAGACTTTATAAATTAGAAATACTTCTCCGGTCTTCAACGAAATATTAACCAAATATCCAATTAAAAATTCTATAAAATAATTATGAAAATTCTGATTAAATGAACATTTATGAGAACATTTAAGAGATGGTGAAGGAGTAGCAATCTGGCTGAGCATCAATTCAAGCTCAGCCAACGGGGCAAGCACGGTTGTCCGTGCGCTCCAACAGGTCGGGTTCCGGTCTATTTGAGTTTGGCAAAAAAATACGGGCCACTACAACGATCAATGATTGAAATTCTACTTATCTGCCGTGGCCCATCGAGCGTGACGTCATATTTGTTAGTATTCCTGAACAGTCCGCAACGGTTGGTAGGCGATATCGGTAATTGTTGCTGTACTGTTCTCATATGCACAATGTGCATTACACGATGCATAAAATAAAATGCATAAAAGTTTATATACACGAAGTTGTATAATTAATCTAAGAAGACTGCTTTATTATTTATGTTATGTCGCGTTAAAATTATTAATACAAGAAAAACAAATGTGCGCAAAGAAAACGCAATTATGCACAGGAATAACCCTATAGAAACCCTCACGATTTTTAAGACCATCATCATCTCTACTCTATTGTAATTCCGAGCAATATGCTCGATGCCGTAAAACTCACATCCCTCTCACCGGTACTTATAGTTAAAAACATGACCGAGTGTAAAGAGTTGTAAGCAAAAATCAATGTTACGTATGATAACAGCTCGATTGTCTGCTACTAATGGCCACACGAGCGAGTCAAATTTTCAGAGAACGTAAGTGCGTTAGAAAAATGCAATGTAACATGCGTCATGCTTTTCGTGTAAGATAAACGTGAGGTTCGACATTATACAAACGAGTGTTTGTATGATTGTGACATCTAAGTTTGTAGTAGACATGCCATAGTTTGAGAAGCATTTAAATGGACTTAGGTGATTTTATTTTTACAAAGTAAGCAGTTTTTATAAACTAATTTTTTGTTTTGCCTCGTTGTCAACGGTTGAAATACAATTTGCTCGGCTTACTTAATGGGCTCGTGCCCCTTGTGCCTCTAGGATAAAAACGGGACCTGAACCATATTCAGTTTTTAAAGGTCTAATCTAATTGTTCTGTATTCATTGTATATGTATAAATATTTTATTTGATAGCATTGTAATTAATGGACTACTTTTATCTGTCGGCATATTATGTATGATGTAGAGCGTAGTTAAATTTCCACTCCCCCCCCCCCCCCCCCCCCACGTCCCATAAAATGACCCAAAGCGCGGTTTTTTCCAGTTTTAAAGAAAACCGTACACGATACATGAAAAGTGTGTAGGCATGAAATGATTCTTGAGCTATCAAACTCTTATACTTATTAATCAATTTAAATTTTCAAAATACCATAGCAACGTGAAATTAAAGAGTTCAGAAATAAAAATGTAACTAATCATTGTCATAAAAGCACTCAATCAATTTTTATTTGAGTTTAGCTATAATTATTCAACTAACCTCGCTCATAGAAGCTTTGAATACTGGCTTCATGCAGTTCTCACCGGGCGGCTAGGGTTTATGCGTCGTTCGCGCGCCCAGCCAAGTATTGAATTATTTTAATTTTACATTATCTCTTCAACTATACGTCCAAATAACATGGTATAAAGAACAAAGTTTACCTTCATAAAATTGTCTTGATGATGAAGTAACTTTCGTTCGTAAGGATAAATAAGCCATGCCTAATAATAACGCTCATAAATCACTTTTAAATTTTCAATATTTTTTGTCACAAAATACCTAATTATGGCTTATGTGTAAGAAATAGACATATGGTATCGCGGACTTTTTTTTAGACGGAGTAAAGATCTATATTTTTCTAGAACATTGTATATACGTATCCCTAACGGTAACACCAGCGTACGTGGATAAATCATTTCGGGAGTGCTTTTTCAAATCGGACTGGTAGTTCAAGAGATTAGCGCGTTTAAACAAACAAAAAACAAAAAAACTCTTTCGCTTTATTATATTATAATATAATATAAGTATAGATTAGTCGCGTCGTCGATACAATGTGGAATTATTTAATTTCAATCCTAGCTACAAAATATAATTAGTACTTTAGTTAGTATGAATCACAAGAAAACACGCTTGTATAAATGAAAAAAAATCAAATTATTATTAAATTATAATTAGAAGAAAAGAACGCATACATAGGCTGCACTAAAAGTATCGGGAATGGAATATTTCCACTGTTCCTGTCATATTAAAATCTTTTTATTTGAAAACCGCTTGGTTTTAAAAATCGAATATCATTTATTTATTTAAAAAAAGATTCTCGGTCTTGTTACAAGGTTTTGTCAAACTTGTTTAGCCGAGAAAATGGAATTGACTCGAGAAAATTCAAGAACGATGATTTATTATGACTTTCGAAGTGGTTTAACACAAAAACAGTGTGTTGACCGGATGATTTCTGCATTTGGTGATGAAGCCCCATCCAAAACCACAATTTATCGCTGGTTTGCTGAATTTCAACGTGGACGTGTCAAGCTCAGTGATGATCCCCGTAGAGGTCATCCAAAAACTGCAGTCACCCAAGAATACGTTGATGCTGTGCGTAAGCGGATTGAGGAAGATCGACATGTGACATACCGCGAAATTCAGGCAACTTTAGACATTGGAATGAGTCAAATACAAATAATCTTGCATGAACAATTAGGTGTAAAAAAGTTGTTTTCCCGATGGATACCGCATTCGCTCTGTGAAGAGCAAAAAGCGGCTCGCGTTACTTGGTGCGTCAGAACTCTCGAGAGATTCCACGCAGGATCCTCAAATGCTGTATACAACATCGTATCAGGTGACGAATCCTGGATATACGCGTACGAACCCGAAACAAAAAACCAATCACGAGTTTGGGTGTTCGAAAATGAGTTAAAGCCAACAAAAATTAGATAGATAGATAGAAAATTGTTAAAAATTGTTCGTTCACGGAGTGTTCCAAAAAAATGGTGGCCACGTTTGTCTCCAAAACCGGCCATGTTACGACTATTCCTCTTGAGGGACAAAGAACGGTTAATGCAGAACGGTATACTAGCATTTGTTTGTCACAGGTCGTTTCTGAACTCCGTAAAGAGAACTGCAACCGCCGCATCATCCTCCATCACGACAATGCGAGTTCTCACACCGCACACAGAACAAAAGAGTTTTTAGAGCAAGAAAACATAGAATTATTAGACCATCCGCCGTACAGCCCCGACCTAAGCCCTAATGATTTCTATACTTTCCCTAAAATAAAGAATAAATTGCGTGGACAGAGATTTTCATCACCTGAAGAAGCTGTGGACGCCTACAAAACGGCCATTTTGCAGACCCCAACTTCCGAATGGAATGGTTGCTTCAATGATTGGTTCCATCGTATGGAATGTGTCAAATTTCGCGGAGAATACTTCAAAAAGCAATAAATACGTTTTTAAATAGTAATGTTTAGTCACTTCCTTGATTCCCGAAATTTTCAGTGCCGCCCACGTACCAGTGGATAACAGTATTGGCACAGAGCACCGACGCTACAAAAAAACGCCGTTAAATTAGTTTTATTTCATGTGTAGTATTTGCGTAAATATAAGAAATCATTTCAATCAGCTTTAAAAGTGATATTAGATTTTTATAATTACAAATTGATGCAATAAACCATATTCGATCCCCGCCGGCACCAATAAAATAAATTATTTTAATATTAATTGCTAGTACATCACATACTCGGCGTTGCAAGAAAACAAAATCATCGTGAACAAACTGGCATGTATAAGAAGAAATTAAAAATATTTCGAGGTAATAATGATATTAAGTCACGTCATATGCGCGCGTCATATATGAGAGATGAGTGGTCTATGCCCAGGAGTTATTTGTATAATTTGTAAAAGAATTTACTATTTAGTATTTTTACTAATAAGCAAGTGCATAAAACTAAAAAGCGCTAAAAGGTTGACCGTATAGTGGCGGTGTAAGAATATTCACGACCCCATAACGTCTTATGGATATCGTAAGAGGCGACAGAGGAGATCAAACAAAGTGATGGAAGAGTCTTTTTTATAATCTTTATATATAAAAATTACGTGTCACGTTGTTTGTTCGCGATGAACTCTTAAACTACTGAACTGATTTCAATGAAATTTAGCACACTGTGTTCAGTTTGGTCCAACTTGAGAGATAGGATAGTTTTTATCCCGATAAGTGACCCTCAATTTTTTTTTATTGCTAATCTCAGGAGTTTTTTTTAGGAAAGCAAATGGTCATCGGAAAGGGCAGAACAACGTCTGCCTGGTCAGCTAGTAACAACTAAAAATAAAAGTAACGCTGTTGAGAACCCGCCTGACATGCATAGCAATTGGCAACTATGGCAAATGAGAAAGTCTATGGGGTTAATAATAATTCCAAATATTTAAGATTATAAGCAAATGAAATTAGAAAATTATACGTGGCAGAGCCATGCTGCAGCTATATTAGTAGTATAGTTTTAGCACGAATGGGTCGGCTCGACCGTGGAAGGACCACGCTCTCACAGAATATCAGCGTAAAATCTAATCTAATCTAATTTTCTAATCTAATTTTTTTTAAACTCACCATACGAAAAATAGCAGCTTAATGCTGCTGTGTTTCGTATGGAGAGTGTAGAGAACTGCAGACCCTTTTTACTGGAAAAGAGGCATTCCATCTTAGTCCTCACGGGTGACAACGCATCTGCATTTTGATTCGCAAACGAAGATAGATGTAGATGTCTATGGGCCACAGCAACCACTTACCATCAGGTGGACTGTGTGCTCGTTTGTCACCCTATCCTATAAAAAAATATTTCAGTGCCAAAGCAACTTTAATAGGCAGAAAAAGAAGTATTTTTTTGTTGATGTTAATTTAATTTTGGTATGACCCGTCACGGTCTTTCGTGGCGCCTATAAGAAATTTTCAGTAGAACCAGTATTGTCTCACTCCGCGTTTTAAACATGAAATAATACCTACGCTGTGCGGCCGCCTACAAGAGGCTAATTCAGTGAGATTGTCACGCGCGCGCTCGATTTGACACGCACCTTACGTTAACAAAAAGTATTTTTCTCTTATAAGTATCTAAGCACTTTTGATATTTATTTTTTTGTTCTTATTCATGCATGGCCACTCAAAAAGCCAAAATGTACTGCATAGCATACGGGTGCTTAAATAACAATGGGAATGTCGACTTTTTATTCTTTACCCTTCTTAAGGATACCGTAAGGTAATATGTTATTATTTATAGGTAGATCTAGATAATTAAGTACCTAGTTACAGACATAGTTACATATTTATTATTTGATTAGCGACCCGACAACAAGTTCGCTGTTTCCGATTTTTTCGCGTATAATGCTAATGACCTTAAAAATGTTCAGTGTAAGACCTCTCAGTATAAGTGACTGCCTACTAATGCAAGATCAGCATATAGTGGTATTTAGGTTGACACTTGGTTTTTAAAATAAAAAGATTGAAAATAGTAGCACATCTCATTGCCACTTTTTCATTAATAACGCCGTCGTGTGTCGCATGTTTGTAAATAGCAAACAATTTGAAACAGAAAAATAACGACATCGTGGCGCAGTGGCTTAACAATGAGTTGCAACGCTAAGAGCCGCGGGTTCGAATACCGCACGGAACAAGTGATCTACAAATAATTGTTCTGGATCTGTTCTATGTATTTAAACGGCGCCTGCAATACAGGAGAAAAGCCTAGTGTGGAGGTAACTTTTTTAAAAAGAGAGGAAGGGAGACAAGTAATGAAATTAAATATTTTGTACAACTGACTTCAATATTAATACGCGCATTATTTTTTTTCGACGATTTAATCGGTAAGCTGTTTTAACGGAGGTCGTATCCGAGGCATGCAAAGTATTATGAACATTAGCGACGTTGTAACTAGATTTACTTGTAAGTTCGCTATCAGAGAGCGATCCTTCTGTTCTTGTACTATTATTTATTCTGTGGTAGAAGGACTTTTATAGATGATGGTGACGAAGTACTGTATATAATACACACTGCCCCGCGACTACGTCCACATGATTTCGTCGTGAAATTTATTACTGTTTTCAATACAAATAGTTATTATTAGTAAATAGATAGAAGAAATGCTGGGTGCATTGCATTTCAAGTGATACCGAAACTATGCCCAACTTATATTGTCCAGACGTGAACTTTTACGGACTGATAAAGACAATAAAACAAAGATATGCGTGAGTCCTTGCAATATCTTTAGTTTAGCATAGTTTTGGTTCAGTTTTTGCTGGTCTGAGAAACCAAATTGATTCATTTGTGTGCTTAAATAAAATGTAATGTAAATAATAAATAAAACAAACGTTACACTCACGTCAGCGAAGTTGAGTCGGTTTGCGTTCTTCCGGAACTCCGTCATAGCGTATCTCTCTTTCATCTTCCTAACTCGCTTACCACCTCTCTTCTTACGGCTTTGTTCGATCGGTTTAGGGAGTGGTTTCACAAACTTTACCGGTGGTGGTTCCTGTTGGATAGTTTGTTTTTAGATTATAATATAACACGAATTAATTGTTTTAGGAAAGAAGCAACTATTACGTCTTTACTTATGAAATTGCCATTTTTTATGAAATAAGTTAACGTATTTTTTTTTTTTTATTAATCAAATCATCATGCAATGGATGCATCTTTACCAACGCAGTAGCAGTTTATTGATGCCCTTCTTGAAGAAATCAGCTAGACAGACGGGAGGCAATAAATTCTTCAAAGGCCTTTTGTACTTTGCCTCTTGGATATTGAATTTTTTCCCCGCCAAAAGTTATCCAAATTCTGAAAAAAGTAGAAGTTTGTAGGCGCAGTCTGGTGAGTACGGCGGATGACAGAGAGCTTCCAACCCCCGCTCTTGCAACTTAGAGGCCGTCTGTTACGCAGTATGAGGTTGCGCGTGTTGTCGTGCAGGACCAGCAAAGCAAGCTTCTCCATCATTGAGTTCAGTTCTTCGCAGTACTCATTTGCAGTCATGCTCATCCGGTTTGGTAAGAAGCTGTGATGAATCACACTGGTGTTAGACCACCAAACAGTGACCAACACTTTTCTACGGGTGAGTTTTCATTTAGGGCATTGTTTAGGTGCTGAACCAGGACCCAACTAACTTGCTGAGTACTTGCGATTGTCAAACAGAATCCATTTTTCATCGCAGTTAACAATGCGGTTCAAAATTCCTTCGTTTATGTGCCTGTGAGCAGCGCAAGGCACGTGTCGACGCGTAATTCGCTGTAGCGATCAGTTCATGGGGCACCGATTTGTCAAGCTTTTCTACCTTGCCAATTTTACGTAAATGGACCAATATTGTTTTGATGCTAACATCGAAAGTTGCTGTTAATTCAGTCGTAGATTGAATATCATCAGCTTCCACAATCGCCTTTAATTCGTCATTGTCGACTAGTTTTCGGACAACCACGGAGTTTATTTCTCAGGTCGAAATTTCCAGAACGGAAGCGGGCAAACCTGTTATTAGTTTGCCCGCTTGAACTTCAACTTGGTGGTACGTCCGTTTGTAGTATTCGCTCCGTTAACGTCGTTGATGCTGCGTGCCACTTGTGCCGCGTTGCTGCTACGACGGTACTCATTATCCATTATTACATTTTTTACGTATCCATGATGACGAAAAAGATTCAAATGAGATGAAGATATAACGCTCATCAATAAACAAATGACTTATTTTGAAAAAAGAATTTCCTGTTTTTAAAATAAAATTAATTTGAATTTAGAATTCTTAGCCAAACAAAATTATTTTGATTTAAAGCGGCCAGTACTGCAGAATGGCAATTTCATACTTAAAAACCTATTATTAATTATTATACAAGTTAATGGTCACAATATTAGTATGAAACAGAAAAAGAAACATTTTTATTCAATATAGATTATAAATAATACTTATTGAAAGTCACTCTTTGTTTAATTACCACTGGTTCGAAAACAAACCTCTGTCCTGGGAAGAACCAGCAAGAAACCCAGCGGGACTTTTTTTTTTAAATAACAGCTTACAATCATTTATGTTACATAAATTAACTACACAACAAATTAGAAATAGCTTGGTAGCGATCACCTCATTTCCAGGGGTTATTATCATCCATTAATTCTTTAATATTATAATAACCCTTTTTATACAAACTTGGTTTAATAAAGTTTTTGAACTTTGAGCAGGTCAAATTTTGTATATTTACTGGAATTTTGTTGTAAAAGATTTTTATGATGCGATGTATACATCGCCCCAAGAATGAATTACTGACTCGATGGAGTCGAGTAACTGGTACTACTTACTAGCTTGTGTCTGTTCCTAGTATTTACAGAATGAATATCACTTATTTTTGTAAAACTACTTTTATTTTTGTGTACGTACATTACATTTTTATAAATGTATTGAGAGGCCAAAGTTAATATATTAATTTCCTTAAATTTATGTCGCAGCGACTCTTTAGGCTTTAAATCATAAATTGCTCTTATGGCCCTCTTCTGTAAAACAAATATAATATCGGTGTCAGCTGCGTGTCCCCATAGTAAAATACCATACGACATTATGCTATAGAAATAGCTAAAGTAAACTAGTCTAGCTGTTTCAAGACTGGTCAGACTTCTAATCTTTTTTACAGCATATGCTGCAGAACTAAGTCTGCTTGCTAGTTTTGATATATGGGGACTCCATTGAAGCTTCGCGTCTAGTGTGATTCCAAGAAAAATGGTGGTATCTACAAGACTCAGTTAAACAGACCCCATTTAAAATTACATTAGTATTTAATTGTTTGACATTTGGAGTCATGAATTTCATACATTTCGTTTTAGTGCCATTTAAATGCAAATTATTAACATTGAACCAATTTACTAATTTAGATATAGCATTATGTACTTCGTCATATTTTAGTAATTGTCGACTTAATTTGAAAATTAAAGAAGTATCATCTGCAAACAATACTATATCATGGTTATGCCCTACTATGTAAGGTAAGTCATTAATGTATACAAGAAACAGAAAGGGGCCGAGAATTGAGCCTTGAGGCACGCCCATTTGTACCATCGACCCGGAAGAGCTCTAGTGTTAATGACAACTTTTTGCGTTCTCTTACTTAAATATGAAATACTTAGTTTAAGAGCATCACTTCTTACTCCGTAGTGTTGAAGTTTCCTAATTAATGTTTCATGTTGAACACAATCGAAGGCCAATGGAAGATATAATTGACAATTAGTGGCATAATTATGATATAAAATGTACATATTTTATTTAACAGTGGTTTAACAGTGGGCACGCGGCAGCTTTTGCTGACGCACGGATGGGCCGGCTCGAACCGGGGTGGTACCACGACCTCACAGAATACCAGCGTGAAGTAGAGGTTTATCTCTGCATTTCGCTTGGTGAGTGCAGGTGGCCGGAGGCCCTTTTTACTAGAAATGAGGCATTCCATCTTAGTCTTCACGGGTGACAACGCATCTACATTTTGATTTGTAACAGAGGATAGATGTAGATGTCTATAGGCCGCAGCAACCACTTACCATCAGGTGGACTGTGTGCTCGTTTGTCACCCTTATCCTATAAAAAAAAAAACTTTATAACTATATACGCAGATTATTAAAACAAATATATAAAAGCAAAATATATGGATATTATCTTAAATGGATTTTGCAGTTATTGCAAATCTATCCCAATAAGCAGAAAAGGAAATCAAGTGCGAGCGCCGGCGGTGCGCCATCCACAGCTGTGCCATAGTTTTTGTTTACATCCTGTTTTCCTTCAACAGTGGGTGGTGGTGGAATTTCAATTTTCGTTATTTTTCAGACATGTGACAGATGACCTTGTAAAAGACACATTTGGTACATAATGATGACGTAATACACACAATTGACATCTTATGATGGTGGATGACTAAGTTTTTTATACCACAACCACAAAATTATTTCTCAAGCATTTTCCAATTCGAAAGCGTAGTTACTAAAGCAGAAATTTATGAATAAAGCTTCTAAATACCTGTAATTTATCTAGTTTCTTCTCAATCCCCTCCCGCAGAAGTCTGCCAATGTGTCCGTCAGTACTTTCATGACAGGCGTCCACTCTGGCGGCGAGCGTGAGTTTAGTTGATACAAGCTTCGCAGCTTTATATCTTAATTCCTAAGAAAACCAAAAATCACATTCGATTTATCATTTTGACATATATACGTCATTTTCTTTATAATAACATTGGTAAAATGAGGTGTTTGTATTTTCAATGAAATGTTTCAATATTATTAAAAAAACGCTTCTGCAAATTTCTTTGAAATTGGGCCATAGCTGCTTTATAATAGAACCCCATTGTAAAAACTTCCACTCTTACTCCTGCTACTACCACTAACTACTTGTTTCTAGTTGACTTCTAAACAGATGAAATCAATTAGTTTTACTATATTTGTTATTTTAATAAATCGCAAATATGTAGGTAAAATTATTTTTCTAAGTTAGTACCTACATCATATTGTATTCAATTTAATTTAACTTTTTACTGCATTAATACTATGGTGTATGTATTGACACAACTCTGAATCCCAAACATACAAACCTGACTTAGTTTGGGAACCAATGATTTTTTTTATATTGTAATATAGTTTTGTGGATGGTAAAATAAATAATGCCTTCGTTTGGGAACCAATGATTTTTACACTGTAACATAGTTTTGTGCATAGTAAAATAAACAGTTTTTTTTTTGTTTAACAACAGTTTTTACACTTACAGGGGGCGTATCCTGAACGATCTGGGAGAAGTAAATGAAACCAGTATGAGGAAGGGCGGCAGCTTGTGAGAAACCAGAAAGAGTTTTCTTCTGTTGTCCAAGTGGCAAAACATTGCATGCTGGCATTTTTGACAACTTGGATAAACCTCCGGCGACTCCGAGAATCTTTGCTGCAGTCGACGCTCCTGCAAATAACATATATTTAGTGTAAACAATACAGACATTAGGCACCTATCATCCGCAGATAAGTGACGGCCAGTACAGTCTCCGTCGGGGTCGCTCATCTGGTAACTATCGGAGGCAATCGAGACCAAGGGGAGGCCTTGGAGGATAGTTTACCAATACCGAAGGTTTTCGATCGGGTTTGCCACAAAGCGCTCCTTTCGAATTTCCAAGCTACCTTCATATGGACTTTCTGAGAAATTATGCAATTGCATCACCAGTTTTCTCGCAGATCGAAGCACCAAGCTCGTAGTCGACAAGCGTACTCTGTTCATTCTACACTAGGGATGTCCGATTTGGATCGATTTTCTGAAAGATCGATTCACGGCCATACGATCTACTGATTTTTGAATCGATTCAAGGGAATGCGATGTTCATCCAGATCGAATCGTTTGCCTCTAAGATCGTAAGAAAAAATCGTATCAACTAAAACCTAAACATCAACCGAACCGTAACGTACGAACCGATCTTTGCATACTTATCGTATTGCCGGGGAGGGGACAGAATAACTAAAACAAAGTAGGATTACCTACCTACATTGAATGAGTAGCTTCGAGTTACATCAAAAGCGGTAATGTATGAAATATGGAGGCAGGTATAATAATATTTTGTTTATTTTATTATCGGGTACCTATGTTTGTGTTCTATGCTCTTTCATTCTTTGTATTATTGCGATACGAAAAGTTGAGCTCTTCTGTGAGCGTAAACTATTATTTTAAAATACTTTTAAATATGACCCCGCCAACCAAATCAAACGTTTGGGCTTTTTTTTATTAAATGTGACATGGATAAACAATGTAAAATGTGTAAACAGACGGTTAAAACTAGTGGAAATACTACCAATTTAAAAAAATCATCTCAGACGTCATCACATACACTTATTATGAGCTAAGCAAAAGTGAAGCAAGTTCTACTACAGCGACTGCCTTCTATACAAATAAATCAAATTGAAGAGTCTGTATGTAATATCAAAATAACAGCTTTTTACTCAATACATATCAAAGTATATACGGTAGGTACTAATAACAAAGTTTTTTTTTTAATTTTTGCCTGCCTGTCTTTCCGTTTGTCTGTCTGTATGTTTGTTCAGGCTAATCTCAAATCGGCTGGGCTGATTTTGACGGGACTTTCACTGGTAGATAGCCGATGTTACTTACTTAACATACGCTACTCTTATTTTAGAAAGAAATTGCCGTAATAGGCTAGATCCAGTGTGGTTGTCAAAATTATTATTTTTGAAGAGTTTAAATGTAGACAGCTGGAATTTATAATGTAAAAACTGTTTTATACTTCTCAAAAATAATAGTTTGGGAAAAGCTCACTGGATACCGTAATAGGCATTGTTAAAATAAATAATTTTGCATGCATACTGTGCTCTTCATTATTTTTATAAAATTACGATGCGATTTTCCGAGATCGATTTAATGCAATATGATTAAATCGTGAATCGATTCACGAGTTTACGATCCATTACGATCCAGTAGATCGATTCAAAACAAAAAATCGGGCATCCCTATTCTACACATCAACATATGTTGCAAACTAGTAACATTCATTGTTATGAAGACGACAGCACAGACGATGTTTTATATACCGGCGGTACTAATATTTCTCGGGAAAACGTGATAGAGTGGCAAGAAACAACAAACTTGTGTCTGAAGTCGAGTCTTTGTTAAGAAAAGTCTCGGGCTGGGGGTGACTAATTCTGATCCAGTTTAATCCCTAGAAGACACAGGTTTGAGCGTTTACCATCTCTGTATCGTCATTATCAAATATACCACCAGAAGTAGTCAGAGGAATTCTACGGATTAATTCCAACAGCTGAATTCCACCATCGTACTATGCGACAGGATTCGAAAATCCACCTTTACTATTTTTTTTTTACTGTCGCCAGCGGTTTTCCAGACCGATACGACTTAGGGGCGTTCAACAAAATAATCTACTTCGCCGTGAACGTACTCGTCACTCTGGTGTCGCAGAGGTTAATGTGCGAAAGTGATCACTGACCATAAGGTGATCCGTATGCTCTTTTGCCTCTCTTCTGTAAAGAAAATCCTGGAAGTCGATAGATGCAGATGGCTAAAGGCCATACTTTGTGGCTTTCCATGGCGGAGGCTCATATTCAGCTATGGACTTGAGATGGGCTGAGTTATATAGTGATCAATGATTTGTTTGAATTCTCATTTAAGTATTGACTCTGTTTTTCATTTATATAGTTGTTTAAATTATTTAATATAATAGGTTAACATGTTTACATTTATAAACATGTTTGATGTTATTATTATTACGTAAGAAAATGGCATTTCAAAATAATTATTAGTACAATACTCGATCAAAGCTATTGGCTCTTTGTAATGGATCGGTTTCTGTCATGTAATCCGTTTAAAAACCATTTCATAGTTTTCACCAGTCTCTAAATTGAGCACTTTTTATATGTACATGTATATATAATATTTTATATTTGCACCGTTTATACCTATAGTTTGTACATACTTACCAACAATTGCTGTTATATTTGGAGCAATGAATGTCATTCTACTTTCAACGTATTCGTAAATCTTAGATTTACAATTATTTAGCTCTGCAGCCATGTCACAAGCTTCGTTTATTTCTGCAAGTTCAATTTCAGATAACAGTTTTCTATAACAATAAGAAAGTATATTCTATTAATTAGAATGAATATAAGCCAAGCCAAGTTATTTTCCTAAGCTAAATCCAAATCCAAATTTTATTAACTTCACATAATATGTTGAACGAGTGTATCATATCGAATACTTGCACCTAAAGTATGGACACCTATTTCGACCATATTGTATCACTAGCCGTATTGTGTTAAAATACGCGTCCACTAACCACATCTTGACAGCATATTGGAATTAGATTATTTATATGTGGACACTACAAAATTTTCCTCTGGTACTCATATTTTTTCCACATTCGAACTTTTCAAGACCAGGAAGCAGACCTGCTTTGATGATCGAATAATAACCAATACGGCATATCAGGTATCGTATCGCATCGCCGTACCGAGATAAAATATCAAAATACGTCCATTGTGCCAATCACAATACGTGTGAGGTTTTGTGCGGATATTACGACGGCATATCACATGATCGCGTATTATAATTTTGCATCCAAATACACATCTAAACCATGCAACAGATATATGATACACTAAAATGATCAAATGTAGATCCAGCCTCACGTAATTTCAAAGCTAGTGATAACTATAAAAAACGAATGCCAACTGAAATAATCAACTCTGGACCGCATTTACGTTACAGCGGCTTGTCTCAATAGAAACGAACCTCATGCGTGGGACAGAGATCAGACGCAGGACTGATCTCTTGATTCTGGGCTGCTATTGAGAATATATTGACAAAAGAACCCAATTATTGATTTTTGGCAATACCCGAGGTTCGAACCTTGGGCCAAATGATCAACAGTTGTGTTTATGAGCACTAGTCAAACGAGGCAGTAAAAAAATAAATAAAAGCAATAACTAAGGTAAAGAAAGATATTGCAGATATACGAAAAATCATAGGTAAATTATAAAAACTTAAATACTGAACAAGTTCAACAAACAAACAGCAGCAATTAGAGAACATAATATGAGAGTATGATATCTTTCTAATATAATATTATGTTAAAAATACTTTACCCTTGTGTAGTAGAAGCTGTGACAGATACAATCATAATAGTAGCCTGAGTTAGAAAGCTCTGTAGAATTTCATTATTTTTAGCTCTATCCAGATCATTTCCCAATTCTTTTACAGTACGGATGTACTCCAGTGGAGTTATGATTAGGGACTCCAATTCTGGAAACCTTTTCTGGTATTTGTCCCGAACAAATCTGTGAATTATAGCTGGAAAATGAAATAGTTAATCTATATTTACATCTATATAGAAACATTAGACTGAGATATATACCTTAAATCTTATACTTTGAAAAACTATGAGAGATATTAAAATTTCAAATTTAATAAATATTAAAAATTTGGAAGAAATTTCAGTTAAAAAAATTTATCTTGTAATAAATTTTTGTAATAAACAACGGAACCTAAAATTATTTTTTATGTTCCATTGTTTTTAGTTTCACATTTTATTTGCTATTTACTGTGTTAAATTACTACAATTTTTAATAAAGTTTATCTCATTCGAAACCCACCTATTTCTCCATCAATTTCCACTGCTATATTATTTGCTTCTACTATTAACTGGTATTCAGGATCTGATTCCATTAATCCTGTTACTTCAATTTTCTTCCTATCATTGCCGACATTTCTCTCTATTTCTGTTATAACCTGAAAAACAGGCTTATTATTTTTAGGATTATTTTTAATATTTAGTAAAATAACATTACCATAGATTTTACTGAAGCTTCATAAAGTTATATTATTATTGAATTTATACTTCTTTTGGGGCGTTCGGGAAAAATTATGAGTGATTTTTTTACGATACGCGCGCACACCGACAGCTAAAAACGACACCATGAAGTTATTACGATGCGCACGCACACTGACACCTCAAAGCAACAACGGCATTGGGTAACCGTCTCTCAAGTTTTCGTGGGAACTGATAACTATATTTGAGGTAGTTATTTTTGTTTTGTTACGCTAAAGAAGTATAACTTCCTACGTGCGTACATAAGTACACACACACGTTTTTCTTTTTTTTATGTTACTACTCCTTTTTGGTTACTAATTATAACTTCTTTGGTACCTTTAATTAAGCTAATTTGATAAGATTTATCAAATTAAAAAAGACAATGAAGCTTTATTCCACCAATTGTAGCAAACTGTGAACTGATATTTGTTTAATAATGTGTAAATTCCTAGAAGTATAAAGGTCATGGCACACTACAACGCCCGATACCGTACCAGCACCAGATCAGCACCGACATCAACGAGTCGCCAGCTCGGCGTTTGTCATGCTTTCACTTTTCGTCCGCGCGGCGTCAACTGGACAGCGTGCCGAAAGCGAGTGGACAGCACTCGGTCACCACAGGGCTACAGCTCGCCGTCGACAATAGCAGACTATACCAATATTCAGAGTAAATGTGACAACTTGTGCTCTTTTGAAATGTCTCACTTGACATTCTGTGACCTGGCAATTATAACCATTGCACTTGACGACGTAGAAACACGCCACCCGTCGGCTGCGCTTGTGGCGCGCAGCCGACGGGTGGCAAGCGTATGCTTGCGTACGGGGCTCGCGAGCCGCCTTGGAGTTAGGTTGACGGGGATAGAGAACGCAACTGACGGAGGACAGTAGATGCTCTCCGAAGTAGGTAAGACACACCATTTTATTTTATTACGCGGATCTTAGCTAATTAATATTCAACATCTTTAAATATTTCAAAAAATATATATATATAACATTAATTTCTATTCAAGAGTAATTATCAGCAAAGTGAAAATTAAATAATAAAACATGGCAATTTTTACATTTGAAAATGTTCTACTATACTGTTCAACGAAGCTGGTATAAAAAAATATTTAGTCCAGGAAATGAAGCATTTTGGCTCGCCATTTTTTCGTCCACCATGGATTTACTTGAAATTTTCGCAGAAGGTAGGGAATAACTCAAGGATCATTGTCTATATCATGCCGCTGTACGCTAGAGCCTTGGGGGTGGTTGCCACCCCATCTCGGGAATGGAATTTTTTTATTACATTTTAACTATAGGAATCGACGGAAAAAGTAATTCAAAATTAAAACGTTATATACGTTTTTTTCGTAAAACTAATATTTTTTGAGTTATTGAAAGTTGAAAGTAACAGTTTTTTGACGAAAAAATCGACTTTTATATCAAAAAAAAGTGTAGAGAGCCAAATTGTAGCTTTTAAAAAAACAAAAACAATGGTTTTTTTTTAATAATTTTTCTACGACAAATACGAACTGAGATACAGCAAATTAATGCTTAGCTTTTTTCGTCAAATGCATAAATTGGAAGATTTAAAGCGAAATAACGAGAAAAATTTGCATTATTTGAAGAAAGCACATAGAATCTTTTTTAAAGTATTTAATTAGAGCTTTCAAACCAAAAAAAATGTCTCTAGCATGAAAATTGACCGACTTATGATCAAAATAAGATCGGTACCGGTTTTTTTATAGGAAAAAAATCTGTCAAAACAACCCCCAAAATACCCCCTAATTAAAATTGATCGCCACCCTTCTGTGATTCTCTTTATATATGTACTATTAATACACCCACGAAGTTTGACCAATTTAAAATGCCTAATTTTAGAAAAATTGGACTTAAAAGAGAAAACTATTTTTTTTCAATTTTGTGTTAACCCTTTTCTTAAAAATATCTCCCAAAATACTAAAGATACGAAAAAAACGATATAGTACTAAATTGTAGCTTTTTTAATGACAAAAATTTCCCTGTGTGCAGATTTTTTGTACAGTGTATATTCGGCGAGATATAACCGTTTAACACCTACATTGACGATCGTACATCACCTTATTCAAGCGCTTTAAACTCTCCCCATTTAAAAATTAAGGGATCTTTTATTTCACACAGTCTTATAGCTCCTGAAAAGCCCTACTAAATCGTTTCTGAAAAAAAAATTTCTAGCACCTAAAATGAAGGAGCTATGCTTAAAAAACCGTTCAATTTTTTTCGAAAAATTCGAATTACCCGCTTCGGAGCGTAGTATGTATGCGTGTGTGAGTGTATATTTCGTTGAGTTCTCAGTTCTCACCAGTGTATTCTAAAGTTCGAAGACAGTAGCACGTGCTCTGATAATTTCAATGTTTTCAAGGGTAGTTTTTAAGAAGGTTAGGTAGAAAGATTATGAAATTGTATCCTAAAGCATGAAACAATCATTAAGTATTTAACTATTTTTACCCATATTTAGGTTTTTAATGTTATTTTATAATATTTGTCAATAAGGGGTAGTTTTCACATCTAAAAAAACAAATAGCGTACAACAGCACAATATAGAAAATGAACTAGAGGGTGAAATAAGCCTAATCCCAAATTTTTGTACAAATCGGTGCTGGACGAAAAAATTGCGATGTTTTACCATTTTTTAGCTTCATTTCCTGGACTAATTGTAGCCTTGTGAAACATTATTTCGAAAAAATCTACATCTCATACCAATTTCAAAAAGGTATAACACTGAGGTTCAAGTTATTTAAAAAATGTAAAATTAGTTAATTAAGTAGTCAAACTATTATGTGATTTCGAAAAATAGTTTGCACGTACACGCTGGAATTCTTTTGTATTGTTTCCAACCAATCATAGACGATACTCGAACCCCCTCTCCCTTTTTTTAACGAGTGGCTCTTACAGTGGCTTGCTTACAGCTCGGAATTACTACACACGTGTTTCTCTCGATCCTATTACAATTATCATTCTTTGTTGAAGTACTCTTCTATTGGATCTCGTTTTTGCTTGTGATTTGGATATTGTTGGTCTTGGCTTATAAAGCACACTGCCTAATACCTACCTATACTCCACATGAATACGCAGAGATGTTTTAATCGGGATCGCTATCCCGATCACCGAAATTTTCTTACTTACTTAGAAGGTCGTATTCTTAGAGTTGGAAATCTTGCTTTTTTCACTCGCCGTAGTTCTAGACGCGCTGGTATAGCTATCCCGTGTAGTGGCGGTTAAGAATACTCACTACCCCATATCCTCCCGTGGGTGTCGTAAGAGGCGACAGAGTGAAACTGAGGCAGAGGATAGGCAGCAGCATCTTTCTGATAACAGCAAAACAACAATAAAAAACTGCGGTTGCCAACCTGCTCGCCAAGCGTGGCAACTATGGTAATATACCCCCCATGATAGTAACGAAGAGACAGTCCCCAGTCCCCGGCGGCCCCGCCATTCCTAGCTACGGTGGCGACCATGGTAACGGCGGGGCAGGGGGTTTAAAGAATCTCCGGTGGATGTTCGGTTGCCACCTACGACGACTCGACCTGGAAACTTATAACGCACGCACCGTGAGGACTGACGAGAAGATCCTGGAGCTGGAAGAAGAGATAGACAAGTTGCGCTGGAATATCATAGGATTATCCGAAGTCCAAAGAGAGGGGGAGGACACGGTAATCCTCGAATCCGGCAACTTGCTGTATCACCGGGAGGGCGACCATCTGTCCCAAGGAGGTGTCTGATTTATCGTCCACAATTCTCTCGTTAAAAACGTTGTAAATATTAAGCGTGTGTCTCTCGTGCTCTGTTCCAAAGTCCGAAACCTTTCAGCTCGAGTTATAACCCGTTTTCAGTGCCTAGAAGACTGCAATGAAGTGGACGATGTGAATGACAAGCTCGTGGAAACTGTCCATGCGGTCGGAGCTAAGTTCTGCAAGACCCGCCGCAGAAGAACACAAAAACTCTCCGATCACACTCTCAATCTCATGGCTGTTAGACGGGAGATGAAGCTACATTCTTCAACAGATTTGACAGCATACAGGCACGCACGCACCGTGAGGACTGACGAGAAGATCCTGGAGCTGGAAGAAGAGATAGACAAGTTGCGCTGGAATATCATAGGATTATCCGAGGTTCGAAGAGAGAGGGAGGACACGGTAATCCTCGAATCCGGCAACTTGTTCTATCACCGGGAGGGCGACCATCTTTCCCAAAGAGGTGTCGGATTTATCGTTCACAAGTCTCTCGTTAACAACATTATAAATATTGAGTGTGCCGACGAGGGTTGCGTGCCTTATACCTACTCAGAATCACCAAACGGTATTCGCTGAAGGTCATACAGGTTTACGTACCAACCTCGGCACACCCCGATGAGAATGTGGAGGAAATGTATGAGGATATCTCTAGAGCCATGCATTCCTCCAAAACCCACTATACGGTGTTAATGGGAGACTTCAACGCAAAACTAGGCACAAGAGAGACCGGTGAGCTGAAAGTAGGGAAATTCGGAATAGGGCAACGGAACCCAAGGAGCCAGCAGCTAGCCGACTTCATGGAGAAAGAGGGACTCTTTATGATGAACTCTTTTTTCCAGAAGTGGCCCCACAGTTAGTGAACCTGGTCAAGCCCCGACGGTTCGACAAAAAATGAGATTAACTTCATTATGAGGACTATACGACAACAGCTATTCAGTGATGTCTCAATGATCGCGAGGGTGAAAACCGGCACCGATCACCGAATGGTGAGAGGCACAACCTAAACATTAAGTTGGAAAGGTCACGTATAATGAAGTCAACGCTCCGTCCCCCTCGTGCTCTAATCCAAAGTCCTGAAACCTTTCAGCTCGAGCCACGAAACCGTTTTCAGTGCCTAGAAGATTGCAATGCAGTGGATGATATGAATGACAAGCTCGTGGAAACTGTCCATGCGGTCGGAGCTAAGTTTTGCAAGACCCGCCGCAGAAGAACACAAAAACTCTCCGATCACACTCTTAATCTCATGGCTGTTAGACAGGATATGAAGCTGCAGTCTTCAGTAGATTTAACAGCATACAGGCAGCTGAACAGACAGATCTCCAAATGCATGCGGCGGGACTTTACGCAACTTTAATACTGCTCGTATTGAAGAAGCGATCGTGCGGAAACAGGGCTCCAAAGTCTTTGCTAGAGATCTGTCTGCCAGAAAGAGCCAACTGTCGAAGCTGAAGACCGAGTGTGGTAGCGTCGTTTCCGGGACACCTAAGATTTTGAGTGAGATTTAGAAGTTCTATGGGCAGCTGTACACAACATCGTTGGAGCCAGACGCAAGTGTGAGTAACGATCCAAGAGCGAGTCTTATCCGACACTATTCCGATGATATCCCGGACGTCACTCTGAGCGAGATTAGAATGGCTCTCCAGCATCTTAAAAACGGCAAGGCCCCAGGCGAGGATGAAATTACAGCGTAGCTTCTGAAAGCGGGTGGAAAACCAGTGCTTGAAGTACTTCAGAAGATCTTTAATTCTGTCCTCCATGGTGGCATTACAACGGAGGCGTGGAGCAGAAGTGCGGTGGTCTTGTTCTTCAAGAAAGGTGATAACGCTCCCTTGAAGAACTACAGACCGATTTCCCTTCTGAGCCGCGTCTACGTGCTGTTTTCGAGAATCATTACGAATCGTCTCGCGCGTAGACTTGACGACTTCCAGCCTATCGAACAAGCCGGTTTCCGAAAAGGCTTTAGCACCATAGACCACATACATACCCTTCGGCAAATTGTACAGAAGTCCGCGGAGTACAATTTGCCACTATGTCTGGCGTATGTGGACTATGAGAAAGCTTTTGATTCCGTCGAAATTTGGGCGGTGCTGCAGTCCCTTCAGCGGTGCCAAGTTGACTGTCGGTAGATCGAAGTGCTGAAGTGCTTGTACAGTAGGGCTACGATGGCTATCCGAGTATAGAACCAGAGTACGAAACCTATCCAATTGCAGAGAGGTGTACGCAGGGTGACGCTATATCCCCAAAACTCTTTACCGCTGCATTGGAAGACGTTTTCAAGCTTCTGGACTGGAAAGGATACGGTATTAACATCAATGGCGAGTAGGTACATCACTCACCTTCGACTTGCCGACGATATAGTTTTTATGGCAGAATCGCTGGAGGACCTAAGCACTATGCTCAATGACCTCAATAGTGTTTCCCAACGGATAGGTCTTAAGATGAACATGGACAAAACAAAGATCATGTTTAATGTCCATGTCACACCTATGCCGGTAGTTGTTGGGAGCATTAAGCTCGAAGTTGTTGACGAGTATGTTTACCTGGGACAAATAGTCTGACTAGGTAAGTCCAACTTCGACCGAGAGGTTGAGCAGCGTTCGGGAGTTCCTATGGAGAAGGCTATGCTGGGAGTTTTTCTGCGTGATAAACTTAGAAATGAGGTTATCCGCAGTAGAACCAGAGTGACCGACATAACCCAACGGATTAGTAAGTTGAAGTGGCAATGGGCAGGCCATATAGCTCGATGACCCAACAACCGATGGGGAAAAAAGTTTCTCGAGTGGCCTCGTACCGGTAGGCGAAGTGCAGCCCCCCCCCCCTGCCCCCTCCCAATAGAGAGACGACCTGGTAAGACATGCAGGAAGTCGATGGATGCAGGTGGCTCAGGACTGTACTTTGTGGCATTCTTTGGGAGAGGCCTATGTTCAGCAGTGGACTTGTGAGGGGCTGCAATGATGATGATGATGATGGTATAGCTAGAAGTACAGTACACCGCCTATTGAAACGGAATAATTTACACCTGTATCACGTACAAAGAGTATAAGCGCTGTTACATGCTGATTATCAGCTACGAATAGATTTCTGTCGAGAGATGCTGCGTCGATGCCGACAAGTTTAAAACTTTTTTAACTCCATATTATGGGTGAAGAACCCCGTTTTAAAAGAACTGGTGTGTTTAACATGCATAACCTTCATCATTAGAGTGTCGTGAATCCCCGAATAGTCAGAGAAGATCGATTTCAACACAAATTTGGAGTGAATTTGTGGGCGGGAATACTGGGTGGCAGCGTTATCGGTCTATTTGAATTGCCGCCGAGGCTTAACGGCGCTAGTTATCTCCAATTTTTGAGACACAATTTTGTAAATTTATTAGCAGACATACTACAAGCAGTCTGCGAGAGAATGTGGTTGCACCACTACGGTACATCCGCCTACTAATAAAATATATTTTATTTTCTTACAAAAATGTCCTTTGCAATTGATATTGATTAAAAAAAATACTAATTTTATACCACAGAGTTTTGAAATTGGTATGAGATGTAGTTGTATGTAAAATAAAGTTTCACAAGGCTATAATACATTTTTTTATACTAGCTTCGTTGAAATCACTGTTACTAATAATTGCACATGTTTTATTGTTTAATTTTCATATTGCTTATAATTACTCTTGAATATAATTTTAATTAGGAAACCCAATGTATGCTTAACTACATAGAACAAAGAATAACAAAAAAATAGTAGTAGAATTTGTAAAATTTTAAATTTTGAGTACATTGTACGACAATTTCATCTTAATATTTTTAAAAAAAACCATAACCTCAAAACTACAAGACCTAGGACAATAAATTTAAGTGTTTTTTTTACATATTAATTCCCTCTATTCCCCATATCCCGTTGGTCCATTACTTTCGGGACATTGTGTATAAAAATCAATTGCTGTCCATTAATCTAGCTAAAACTTTAAAATGGCTACACCGAATTTGATGATTTTTTTTGTGTATGATTAAATGGGTCCCTGGATGGTATAGATTCACAATTAGACCCAACAGGTGGCATTGTTGTCAAGATCCAGAAATCATCCATGCGAAGATGGGGTGGATCGCTAGAGTGTTATCAGTATCAGTGATTATTACATAATTTCTATCATGAATCATTAAAATATAATAATTGTTTAATTATTGTTTTTGTTTTATATTATTATTTTTATATCAAATATAAAATAGATTAAAAGTCACTGTATTGTCATAATAATTATCATTGATAATTTTCTGTTTATTGCTAATTTAAAAATTGAGATATTTACTAAGAATATTATATAAGTAAGTTCATCATCTAAACATTTGTAATTAATTCACTCTTCATTTATATTTATAACAGTGTTTTAATTATTTTCATATTATAAAAGTATTTGGATTGTATAATTCTTACACATTCAAACTGTTGCTAAGTTCAGTTTTGATAGGTAGTAGGGGTGAGATGCCACCATTGTGCGATATTATAAAAACCATTGGAATAATTATTGAATTACTACTATTCGTGTCGTGAACTAGTAAAGCAAACAACAAGTAATCAAGCTTATTATTACCCTTCCTGGGACTCCTGTAATACTAGTAATGAATATAAAAATATTATTGCTATTTAAAATAATATGTACAATTTACTTAAATTTTTGAAATCTGGCAACTTGATCAGTGTTGTCATCAACAATATTTTTAAATGAGTGGCATAATTGTTAACGACCGCCACCTCTGCCACTTGTAATCCCATGAAAGTATCCAAATATAATTAAAAACTTTTTTTGAGATAGTTTTCATTATTTAGTTTTATGGATATGATCATTTCACAGTACCTAATAGCCACCACACAGATCTCATAAAATTTTTTTTCATCTCCTGATCCTTGCACACATGTCCCAGCTTTAATATTATAGCTATTATTAAATATTTAATTTTTCTAATTAGTCACATGACTAAATCTGTGTAATACTTGCATCAATCACTGCCTACTGACCAAACAATGATCCGATTATACAGGTGATCTGGTAATACTCCTACTATGTTTCATAAAATACCAGCAGGCCTGGATATAGTTACTGCCCTTGTAGATTCATATGAAGATCAGTAATCACATCTTTATTAAATGTTGTGGTACTAAACAGTTAGTCTTCTACCTCACTAGCAAGAAGCATGCATAAAGTTACAGCCTATATATGTCCCACTGCTGAGCATAGGCCTCCCCTCATTTCTGAGAGGATTTTAGGGCAAGGAAATGTTGCCGCGCTACCCTAATGCATGTTGACAAGCTTCATGTCTTCAAATTCTTTAATTGCAATTAACAATTTTGATCGAAATGATCGAATGCAGATTGCTTGCGTGCTGTGAAATTAACAGCAAGCACTTAGTACCTGAACTACAACAGCAATTTTTTTTAACATGTATATATATATGTTTTATAATAACAAAACAAAAAGATATATGCATTGATTCCCTCCCACTGGTGATACTGGTTCTCATCATATCAGTGGGATTTAACTTAAGTATTGTTGTATTGATCAGAGTAACTTAACTGTATAATGGTGATTTAAAAATATCCACTACCCCATATTGTTTCTTGCGTCGTAAGAGGAGACAGAGTTGACTACATACCAAGTGTGGCATGGCAAATATCATAAATATACTATGGCAAATATCCCACTTCAGCAGCAATATATCATCATCATCATCATTACAGCCCTTCATAAGTCCACTGCTGAACCTAGGGTACCCTCAAGGAATGCCACACAGTATGGTCCTGAGCCACCTGCATCCATCGACTTCCTGCATGTCTTACAACATGCACTTATACAATCTTGTTTTGAACTTATGAGGTATACCTGACGAGAAAATGTGTCGCAATCCCCCAAATGCTGCCCAGCAGAATTGAATCTGTCAATTGGCTTCTCGGTCGAAGTGGACTTACCTAGTCCGAATATTTGTCCCAAGTAATCATACTCGACAAAAAGAAATTGCATATTGAATTTTAATATATTAATTCACGTATCACTTACTCGTTGCAATCGATCTGAATCCCTTAGTTTAGCCAGCTCTCTAATGGAAACATTTTTTATTTCGTCCTCTTTGGGAATTACTGGATATGGAACAGCAAATTCATGAGGTGTATTATTCGAAGTCTTATTTTCAATAATAGCTTCAAGTTCAGCATCATCATTTTCCTCTAAATCAGCCAGTAACTCATCAGCCAAAGACATTTTCAACGACCAAAATCAAGACTTGTCTTCAATTTAAAATGAACGTAACTGTAAATAATATAATTTTAAGGCTATCACATGAAACAAAGTATTATTAATAAGTAAATAATAGTAAAACGGGCAGTCAAGGCAAAATTACATTAGGTATTTTATTCACTTTCAGGTTATACCATAGATAAATAAATATGTATACACACAAAAAACAGAAAGAGAGTACTTTTTTTATAACTGGCTTTATTGCTCTGGGTTTTAGCCTTTCTAAACCTGAAATTACAATGTATAATTATCCTTTATAGTACTCTGCTTCACAATATGATGATGCGTCACAATGTGCAGCCCTTGGGAGATTTTGACGGCAACTTGAGCCAGCAGACAGCTGACAGTTGGCAATGGTATATCAAGGTGCCTAAGCAGACACCTTATCGTGGGAGTCACATCACCATCAGACACTTGTTTCACAGTTTCCACTAATAGTTCATATGCGCACACACTTAATACACAAAATCGAACCACTTTTACATATCAAAATCCACTTCAAAACATTATTTAAAAGATAATACAGGAGCAACGAACCGCTGCAGGTCAAGTTCCCGCCAAAACTCTATTAAAGTTATGGTCAGTGAACACCGTAGATTAGGTACTGTGTAACTAGAGAAACGATCCTAAATCAGTGACCTAGAAATGAATGAGAGGCACCGAGTCAGGCGTTGCATTTCTTTCTAATAGAGTGTCCATGATACAATATTTTGAGAATATTATTAGTGTATACAGCATCACGGAAAACGAAACGCATACTTTTTGCAATATGGAAAATGCTGAATGAATAGTGTTATAATTAAACTCCGTTTAATATTTCGATTAGATTATTGCTTCGCTACAGTATCAAACCTTCCGGTAACTAGTAGCGACGTAGCGTGGGTTGACGTTTTCTATCAAGCACCTCCCAAAATAAAACAAAAATGCTATACATGCTAACGGAACTTTGTTTTGCTAAAATATTCTAATATATTATCAAATTTTACTTTCGTGTCATTTTCGATAGATAAAATGGAATGATTAATAAGTTGCGCTTGGCTCATTGTGGACCTTATGTAAGATTTTATTAACTTGAGTTTTGAAAAGATTCCTTCACACGAAACTTAATAGTATAAAAATCTTAGACACAGCGCTAGATTCGAAACAGATTCATAATAGCCCAATTTTACGAGAAAAGCTCCGATGAATTATATTTAACCGCTTCTTGGGAAGAAATGCTGGCAGCTTTCAAGTCGTAAAATCGCAATAATAATATATCCTGCAGAAAAATCATCATAGATTTTTGTTAGATTTTGAACTATTACACGAAGATCTTCATCTGGTGACATGAGCAGAGCTAGTGTAAGGCTGAATAACACTAAATGTTACGAGAATATCATCCATTGCTCTGTAGTGATAGTCTAGTTCCTCGTAAAATATGTCAAGACATTCTAACATTGCTCTCTGCAACTTCTCTGGCAATGTTAGTCCAGCATATTGGGTTATTTCTCCTGGTAAACGTTTTCGATATCTCCTCATTTCTCTTTTTCCTTCAATCGAAATGTCCACATTCTCACATTTTTTGTTACGTAGGAAATAGCTTTTTCCACTAGTTGAAAACGTTGGCTTTGAAGAAAAATTTTTGGGCTTTGATTTTTACCTCAATATTTTCCAGTGATAATCTAGATTATTATTTTATTATTTAGTATTTGCTTTTGTGTCTGACTAACTTCTTTTAAGATTTTACACCAAAAGGAAAGATAACATAAAAACAACTGAAATCACACAAAGCTGGTAAGAGTGTAGGTACTGCTTATTTTGTATCGACGTTTTCTCTGTTGGGGCTGGAATCATATATATCTTCGAGCTTTTATACTAGTTTTTTTTAAATTATTCTGTAGTGGTTTAACAGCGTCATGATGAGCAATCCATCTTGTCTCTGAGAGTCTTTTGACTGATACGCCCACACTTTTTATTAAAGTTTCCCATTGACGTGTGGATGATGAAAAGAACCTGTAAACTCTTTCTACTGTTCCGAAAAAAAGTTAAACTTGAATTAACGCTCCCTAAGTGCACTCCACATAGATTTAGCGAATGATTAGCAGAAGGCGTATTCTACGTGGTAGAGCCATGCTGCAGCTATATAAGTAGTATAGTTGTAGCACAAAGGGGTCGGCTCGACCGGAGAAGGACCACGCACTCACAGAATACCAGCGTAAAATAGCAGCTCAACACTGATGTATTTCGTATGGTAAGTGTAGAGAATCGGAGACCCTTTTTACTGGAAAAGAGGCATTCCATCTTAGTCTTCACTGGTGACAACGCATCTGCATTTTGATTCGCAAACTAGGTTAGATATAGATGTCTATGGGCCACAGCAACCACTTATTCCAAGAAAAATGGTGATATCTACAAGACTTAGTTTCTCTCCATTTAAAATTACATTAGATTTTAATTGTTTGACACTTGGAGTCATAAATTTCATACATTTAAGTGTTTTGCCCCCGCCCGTGGGAGTTAAGGGCCCGGAAGAGCCCCGAGAGGAAGCGCCGTTCGCACCCAGGCACAAAACGGCATGGTGATTGCCCTAGCAGTGCGATGGCAGGACCGGCTTACCCAATAACTTCGGGCACGACGTTACCCGGTGACCGGATGCTCGACAATAGGAGCAAGGGGGCGACTCCCTGGCCGCTAGGCCGCTATAAGATGGTAGGGGGCGGCGTCCTCCCGCGAAAGCTCTGCTCGGCCTTGGGGGGATGGCGACGATTTTCCCGGCGGATTCCGCCTCTCCATGGGCACGACTCGGTTGGCAACCCGTAGGTCGTCGACGGTGCCCGCTGCGTTCTCAATTTGCCGACACTGCTTCTCCAAGAACCGCAGCAAGTCCCTGAAGGGCGGAATATAGTAGGCGCCGTCCCCGCCGTACCTCTCCTCAAAATGGATCCGAAGATAGAGAGGCAGGCGGAACAGCACGATGTGGAGCAACAAGAAAGACCATTCGTCCACCGGTAAATCCAGCATCAACGAATTACAGGCCACCACGACTGGGATTACGATGTCCGGACGTAGTCTGGTCCGGTCCCTAAGCAGCGGGAGGTTTAGAAGCTGCCTAACGTATTCGTACGCAATTCGCCGGACGTTATCGTACCTTCCGGCGAGGAGGTCCCAGGCAGTCTGGTAGGCGTCGTCCGACAATTTCAAATAGCCGACGACGCCCAGGGCCTCCCCCCCAGTGAGGCCAGGAGGTACGCCATCTTCTGGCTTGGTGTCAAGTCCCTCCGGGCGCCCACTAGGCTATCAAAAAGGCCAACAAAGGTCAGCCAGTCGGAGAGGACCCCAGAGAACCTTGGCAGGTCCAAAGTTGGAAGTCGTTCCGACAGCTCCGGCTGAGAAAGCTGCTTCCGAGGGGACTCGGGCAGGCCACTCAGCCAAGCTTCACGCGCTTCATTAGCATACTTGGCCCCCGCCTCCATAAGCGTCCTCGTCCGTAAGCGAAAAGAATTGCTCGTAGTCCGCGAGGCAGGAGTCTAGGACTCCCTGTTCCACATCCGAGGCCACAAGCTCAGTGTAAGCCTCCTCCACTCCGGCCCTTCGGGCCACGACCTGCTCGAGCCGTTTCTCTAAACTATGGACCCGATCGGGTCGCCCTATCAAAGAATGGGCGTTCGTGGCCCAGCGCAGCTCCGCCTGCAGGCGAAGCGCCGGTGGCTTATGCGATGGCATCACTACTAAATACAATTACTATTAAATAAAAGCTTTTAGAAAAATTTACTTCGCAAATATCTGCGTTATAAAATAAAATGATGTGTCTTACGTAGTATGAAGAGCACCTCCCGCCCTCCCACAATTGCGTGCACTATCCCCGTCACCACTACACTAGGCAAGACACACCGCTGACGACAATACGACACGTGTTTCGCCTCTACACGAGGCATCCTCAGGTGATATAGACTCTACGGTGGCTAACCGCTAAGTGAGCGGCGAGCGAAAACAACTGCCTTTTATACAGACCGATGACGTAACCGCTCTCTACTTAAGGAGCGAGCGACCGCGTCATGCGATAAAACATGCTATGCAAAATAGTGCTTTCTATTCTACGCGTCAATTTGAACAACTTTTACTATAGATTTATCTTCCAAATCGTAATGCCACCATGGAGGACGGAATAAAAGAGCTTCTGAAGGACTTCAAGTACCGGTCTTCTACCCGCTTTCAGAAGCTCCACTGTAATCCCATCCTCGCCTTTAAAAATCATTCCAGCATAATTGATAGACTGCTCCAAATGGTTTTGCAGTCTAGGAGTAGTAACTCTTTTCCAAATTCAGCTTGGACATATTTTTGGAGCGTGGTGTCGTTTTTTGTCGGTGAGTTTTTAAATATCTTCACCACTAACCGGACTTTTTTTAATTATTTTCTTATATTCATCACTCAGCACTCCGTGTCTCCGTTAATGCTCGACAACAAATCCGTCAACGTCATCAATATCATCATCAGAGTTTTCATCTGAGTTCTGACTCAGATGAAAATAAAATACTCTGGTATGAGCATGTTTCCGGATCCTCACGTGGTTGTTGATTATTTTTTTGTATAAAACATCTTGTACAGCTAGTTGCACACCGTGTGCAAGGCATAATTGATGAAACGGAACTGGCAGAATATGCCCAAGCTTCGCCATGACAGTTGCACCGTCAGTTGTCAATCCAATGATGTCTTTGTCCATACAAATTCCGAAAGAATCTAATCTTATTTCTATGAGTGAAACACTAGCTTCAGCTCCCATAGAACCTACAATCCTTACTAATCCCAAATTTTTGCAGACATTTTCGCCATCATCATTTTGAAAATGAATATTTAAATTTAGGTTTCGATGGGATTTAATTGAGGTCCACTCATCAAGAGTGATTGACCACTTGGTATTTTTAGTCTTCATAACTTTTATTTCTAAATTAAGAGACTATTTTTCTGCGTCACACATGTACATTATA